TACAGGAGATCCCCTACTATTGATATGGACCGTTGTCGTGAGGGATATGAACATAATCCCTCCTTATACTCCAAAACGAGTCCTTGTAGGCTTCATGCTTATTTTCAAAGGAAGCTACTAAAAGCCCCAAAAGAACATGCCCTAACTTATTTTCACCAGACTTCCTTCACAATGAAAAACGTTGAGGGGGAGGGCAGCTTCCCGCAGAAGCTCACTTAAAAAGGAGTATAGCGAAATGGCTTTTAGTATTACACTGTATTAAAAAATGCCAAACTTGTAATCAAGCATTTACACTGTATGAAATATTTGTAATCAAGCATTTACACTGTATGAAATATTAAATGTTTCAAATATTTCCTGCAGAAACATTGATTAATGTTTCAAATATTAATCAAGCATTTGAGTAATGTTAAATGTGTATTGAAAAAATGTTGACCATGTATTAAAAATATCAAACTTGTATTTGAAAAATATTTATCAACAATTTACAAAAATTTAAAATGTGTATAGAAAAAATGATGACCACGTATTAAAAAAATATCAATCTTGTATTTAAAAAATGTTAATAAAGCATTTGGAAAATGTTTAAAATGTGCATAGAAGGAATGTTGGCGAAGTATTAAAAAATGTTAATCTAGTATTTGAAAAATGTTAATTGTGTATAAAAATGTTTCTTATGTATACAAATAATATACAATGTGTGTGGAAAAAGTTGATCATGTATTTAGAAAAATTTAATCAAGAATTTTAAAAAAGTTTAAAAAGTATTTGAAATTTTTAATCAAGCATTTATTTGTACAGAAATAATGTTGACCATGTATTAAAAAATAGTAATCTTGTTTGTGCAAAATATTAGTCGAACGTTTGAAATAGTTAAAATGTGTATAATAAAATGTTAACCATGTATTAAAAAAAATGTAATTTTGTATTAAAAATATTAATAAAATATTTAAATGTTAAAAATGTGTACGGACATATGCCAACCATGCATTATAATAATGTTAAACTTTTATTTAATAAATGCTAAATGTGTATTGAAAAATGTTCTTGACTTATAAAAAAATATAGAATGAAAATCAAAAGAAATAAAGAAAAATGAAAAACAATAAAAACCAAAAAGAAACCACAGGATAAAAGAAACGAAAAGGCAAACCGAAGAAACAAGTGCAGAAGAATGGAGAACAGTGAAAATCGATAAAGATACAAAGAAAAATAAAAGAAAACAATTAAAAACCAAGAAAGAAGCAAATAACAAAGAAAAAAGATCCCCGATGGAAACCTTGAAAGAAACAAAAGAGAAATCAAAATAAAACGAAAGAGAAAACAAAAAACAAGTATAATTACGAAATATGAAAACCAAAGTAACCTGAACTTATGCAGTAACGAGCGACCGACGAACGAACACATCAGCAATTAAAAAAACAAAATCAAATAAAGGTGTGGCAAGGTCTTAGTCGACCAAGATTTTACCAAGTCTTAGTCAAATAATATAACATGTAAAGAGGAAAAAGAAAATCTAAAACTAAATTGCACGGATCTTGGTGTAAGATCTCACGAATAAAAAATCGACTGGGACTTGGCGGAAAGCTGATCAAACAGGAAGCTACGGCGAGCGATCGAAAAAAAAAAAACAATCGAAACAGGCCAGCCCAGTTTAAGACGTCGGGGGAAGCTTTAGCGAGACGGAAGGTATGCTCGCTATAAGCGAGATATAGCCTTCCCGCTGAACTGCCCCCTCCTCCTCTGCCACGGCCACCGCGCCTCTCCCCTCTCCCGGCTAGCGGCCGCCCCTCTCCCCGACAAGC